TCTTCTTCTTCTTCTTCTTCTTCTTCTTCTTCTTCTTCTTCTTCTTCTTCTTCCTTATTGAAAGGAGCTTTAAAATCATAATTTATCATTTGCTTTAACAAAAGTCCTTGCCAAGAATAGAATTAATAAGTCGGTAAACTGAAGTACACGTTTGTGACGTACATATGCATTGGCATGAACATTTCAGGTGCCTGTAACTCTAGGTGGTGTTGGAAGTCACTTTTCGAAATGTCTTGCACAGAATAGAATTTCTTCAGTTGTTTGAGAGGGATTAACTTTGAAATCTGTCGTTGCAAATGACCTGGACAGGGCAATTTTTTCCTTCTGACGTGATAACTTAGAGTCGTTAGAGAGAACCACATGCATCCGGGTTGGGTTTTTTTTACCTTTTCCCGAAAAAGTAAAATCCCTTACCTACTGATTATTACGGCCTTTAACCCAGAAGATGGAATAATATATTCCTCGACTCCTGGGCTCATGGGTGAGAAAAATTTATGGACGAAACCTTCGAAAGGTATCTAGAAACAAGCCGAGAACCAGAAAACAACTTGCTTTAGCCTGAGAGGCAAGCACTTCGCCCGTGGACCACAGAGCTCCAGGATAATATCTCTCATGTTACTACCTTTTGCCAGACCTACATCTCATGACGTTGACACATTCCCGCCGAAAGTTCTTGTCGCACAGACTATACACGATCGGATTGGCTGCGCTGTTCAGAAAGTAGGACCGGAAAAACAGGAAGTAGATGGCCAATCCTACATCGCTCAAGGACTCTATCGTCCCCGGAGATGTGACTTTGAGCGAGACGAGGATCAAAAAGGGGAGGAAACCGACGATGTATACCGCACTGATGATGATCAACATGGCGGTGGTTCTGCCTAAACCTTTCCGCCTCACCACCTTGCTTTGTTTACGACTCCCGCTCGCTTCCGCAGTCTTTGGCGTGTGGTGACCTAATTTGTTTCCCGCCTCCTCTCCCGGCTCTTTCGGTGTAGGAGGTTCACACTTTATGTACACTACACTTTTTTTTCTATTAAATCGAATATTGTCAACATCCTCACCAGCCACAGAGCAATTCGCATTGACATCGGCATCTGCTTCTTTCTCTTTCCGGTTCTGCTTGGCGCGTTTGAGAGTATCCGTGAGTGCGTCCCTGAGCTTCCGGTGACGCTGAAGAAAACTGTTATCTCTAGAAACTTTCCGGGATTTGTTAAACGAGTCTTTTTTCGTCAAGCCCTCTTCTTCGTCAGCACAGTCAGTTCCCTTCTCTTCCGGTTTACTTTCGTTCAAGCAATAGGTAATATCCACCCACTGCATAGAACGGGCGAAGTCACTCATTGGTTCAAGCGATTCCTCTTCGTCAGTTTCTTCTTCTTGTTTTCTTATCTCTTCTTCGTCTGCAATTCTTTCTTTTCTTTGTTCCTCACTCTCAACAGGATAGCAGCTATCTTTACGTTTCGTATTAGATTGTGAAACGTTTTTTTCATCATCAGAACTCTCGTCGTCCACCTCAGTTACAAAAGACACTTTCTGGTTCTGCCTCGCCTTCTCCTCGTTCCTCCGTGGCGTTTGATCAGTCCCCGAGACAGCTTTAACGTCATTGGCCACATCGGAGGTTTCTCCTCCAGCGTTGATCGGAACGTGAGAATCTAGCTCGTGATGACGTGTATCTCTCCCTGCATCGGACTGACCGTTGTCGTCTCCTTCACTGACCCCGGCCATGTTTGCCTCAGTCTGTTCAGTGGCCACAATCCGCTCAGCATCTCGGTCTTCTTCTCTAGCGCCTTCCTGTTCTCTACACGCTGTGGTTTCGTTCATCGGGTTAGTGCTGTTGTCTTTTAGAGCCGACTTGTCGATATCTGCGTTTGTAACCAATGCCACGTCTTTCGCGTCAACAACTGTTGATACACCATAATTCTGTTTCTTTGAACTCTCCTTCTCCTCTCCATTGCTTTGTTTACTTTCTTCTACTTCGTTCTCTCTCTCCTCTCGGAAGTCTCTCTCGCTCTCCTCCTCTCTCTCCCTTTCATTTTTCACGGCTTTCAGCTTCTTGGTAAGTTCCTGCACCATGTTGATATTGAAGTGTATACGATCTCCCGCGGGGGCTCTGATCATCTTGACACTAACATCTTTGTTGTTGTTACTGGTCGACACACCGCCATTCGCGATATCCCTATCTTCTTTTGTCTCTTTCTCGTCCTCACCTTTCCCAACAACATCATTTCCTCTCTGCCCATCGCCATTATCTCCACTCCCATCATCCTTTCGTACATGGCTTGAACCACTATCTCCTCCCACCACATCCCCACGTACTCTCGAACCCTCGGACGCTCCGGAAGTCGTCTGCAGTGCCTTGACGTCATTGTCATGGTTGGAAGACCCTGACACCCCTCCGCCGGTATTAGTCGAGTCTGAGTTCGTGTTGTTTGGGTACGATGACGAGGCGGCCGCCGCCGTTGTGACTCCGTACTGCTTGCTATGTTTCCAGGCCTGAATGCCGATGAGAATGTACAGGACGACCAGGGGGATCACGTTCACGAAGAAGAGGAGGAGAAAAAACCCAGAGTTGACCATCGGCCATATTGTGTTGACGTAGCTGTCGTCGATGGTGCATTCGTAACCGAAGATACCAGGCCGCGGGGTCGGTTTTGTTTGGCGGCCGTTGATGATCCTGGAAGAGTCAGAGTATGAACATTGTTTGTAAAATAATAACGCATACGTCATTATCGGGGGGGGGGGGGGAATCCCTTTTAAAAATCACATTAAAGTCCCAAACATACATACCTTTTAACATTTTACCCCCATTTCAGCCCCCCCCCCCCCACACACACACACATAACTAATATACAAACGAAACAAAATCAAAAGGAAGCAACAAATAACTCATCAGCAAAAACTAAATAACTAACAAAAATAATAACAACAATATAACCACCCAACACAACTGAAAATACCATTACATAAAGATGGAGGAAATAAGTACCAGCAATGTGACAAAGTAAATAACAAACAACAACAACAACAAAAACAATAATAACAATAGTGAAGAAACAAATGATGTTGGGCCAGATATCTGGAACTAACTCTTTTCAAACTACGTTTTTGTTCAATGTTCCAGAAGAATGTTGCAGAAACAGAAGTGGACTCCGCCTCATAGACTTACAGCACAGGCCATCAAGTATAGGTGACCAAAACCAAACAGAAAGATAGTGTATCGCCATAAAATTGTAGAGACAGTTTCTTTCTCGACATGCTTTTTGATACATGAATGTGTTATCTTTGTCCTTTTTATTTTCTGTTTCTTCACATCGATGATTTATCCATGTGCCTATGGCTTCAATGCATTAATTATTTTCCCCTGTAGATCCTCGAATATACATGTATTTCGACCATGTGTGTGTTTTATTCTTGCCGCCATAAAACCAAGTATCTTTGAAGTAATCCATTTTTTGAGTTCTTTCTGTTTGGTGACAAGTACGTGTGCATCGGCCGCATTTTAAAGACTTTCCTTCATTAAACAAAATCACAGTTTTCTTCTGCATTTGTTAGATTTTTCAGGCTCACCAAACTTGCTTTTGACTTCTACAGCATACTTTGTCTTCACAGTACGCAAAGCTGTAAATTGTGATGGTCTTGTTGTCTTCTTTATTATTTATAGTTTGACTTTCATACTTGCTACAACTGATGTGCCATTACTCCGACAATCTTCGCCCGGCAGATGTTATCGAGCTTCTGAAGTGTTCTAGTACAAGGATGTAGTCTATTTGATTTCTTGAACCAGATGTTCATCTCAGCAAGTTTGGGCTCTTTGCACTATTCTCCAAGTTTCTAGCTTCTTTCGCTGATATCACCAATTCCTTCCCATTTTTTTTGCATTTAATTCCCCCACTACTAGCTTAAATGACTTTGAATTGTTTCATTGCATTTTTCAACGTCTTCATAGAATGCCTCTATTTATATCAGGTCCTTATCTGCGGATGGTCCATATAATTGGAAAATCAATATATCAAATTATGGTTTGTCGCTCAGTTTGATAACGCTGACTCTGTCATCATTTTTATTTTGTTTAGTAGAGGTTCTACGGCACTCGCAACTGCATAAGGTCATATGAGCCCCAAGGGGTGGATGTCAACAGAGAAGTCTTTACAGGGAATCAGGCTTTCTCTGCTCACCTCTCTAGCTTCAACAGCACAAAGTCTGTTTCGACTTTCAAGGTATCCCGGAAATAGCCGGTCACAAGAGGGTGACAAACATTCAAAAGAAGTAGAGGAAAAATGACAATAGTGAAGATTAGGGGAAAAAAAGCAGCAGTTCCCTGTTGTAGATCAGGCACAGTTATGAGCGTGACATTGATGAATCAGCTCATTTACAATTCTACTATGCATGAACGAGAAATGTCCCCCCTTTGGGAATTGACTAAAGACACTGCAGTCAGTGGCACCCCCCCCCCCCCCCCGAGGGGAGTAGATCCTGTCATTAACTGCCCAGAAAAGCTTAAGGGTGTTAGAGCTTTCAGAGTCCAAAATGATGCCAACTTCTCTCTGGTGTTCGTCTCCTCCTGAATACATAATTGGGAATTCATCTGATCTTATGCTCCCGACTCCCGTCCAATCCAAGTACGTTTTTTTACGCCATCGTCCTCATTTTTTACTTGATGTTCTCTAGCTTTCCCCTGTGAAGTTTGTTTTGGGTGTTATAAGTGCCAGTTCCCAATGGTCTTTGTTGCAGACAGTCGTGTGATGACGATCTGGTATTCCCTATGGTGGGTGTTCAACCCTACCGAGTGAGGAGTTTCTAGGACTACTGGTAACCCCCTTCACACTGTTACTTCTGTTTTGTTTTCCGATGATTTTCCTTTGCACTGGGTATCTACAATTACTTTCTCTATGAACAGTGCTCATACTATGCAGATCGTCCCTGCAATTGCACTATACTAACAGTATCGTGTGTCTGGCACACTTGGAAAGTTGACCAGTTCCGAAAGCTATCTTTGACTGTCCAACACTTCAACCGTCACCTGCCTGCCATAACTTCACGTAACCCTGCTTTTGGGGTTAAGTGGGTACTCGACCTTGCCCAAGGGTCTCCCACAGGCTGGCAGATGGAAGGATCCGCCTTACAAGTCCTATCCCGTCACCCAAAGTATTACTTGGGTAAATAACTAGAGTAATGTTTGTGTAAATAACCACAGTGAGAGTTGTTTAAATAACTAGGGCAATATTTGTGTCAATAAACACTGTACCAGTTTGGTAAATAATTGGAAAATATTTGTGTAAATAATCACAGTTATTGTTGGCTGAAGAGCTACAGTAATAGTTGGGTATGCCACCACAGTAATCGTCCGATAAATAGTTTCAGCAATTGTTGGGTAAACAACGGAGAGAGAGAGAGAGAGAGAGAGAGAGAGAGAGAGAGAGAGAACAATGAGAACGAAGCAGAACATGACATGATGAGAAGGACCGATAGCAAGACTTACCCATAAGGCACCGCAAACAGGAGACCCAAGCCAGCGATGATGACACTGGTAATCTTGGCCTGCTTCAGAGATACTTGACGACCGAACGGAACACAGATCTTTCGGTATCTGCAACAAGTAAACAGCAAATAATTTTGTGATCAAACAGTCTCATCGTTTGGTGATTAACACTATCCGTATGTCGTGTTTTACTATCGTATCCATACAACGTGGTGAACTCTGTGCCACCACTTTCCAAAGAGGAAATTTACTCGTTAATCCGATCCGCCCTCTTTACATAGCAGTCTGTCAATATGATTTTTTGAAAAATACTGAAAGTTTCAAAGAGATCTTCGTACTAGAAGTATTCTAAAATGTGAAGAATACAACCCCGGAGGGTACAAAATGACCCCAGGGCGCACGGATAGGGTTAAGCCAATATTCTTAAGCAATTCTTGATACAACCATAACCTTCACACCTTCCTCCCCTCCTTTTCCGACAAACAAACTTAATTCTCTCTAGACAAAGGTTACTGTGCACTCATCATGATATGACATTAACTGGGACACTACATTGTGGGTTCTCGTTGTCTAGAAGTACTGTGTTCGCCTCTCATTAAACAGGTCCCGTGTTCGAACCCTGATAAAGACGAAAAAATTGTCCTCTCTAAATTCTTTTCCTTTCCCCCTTTTCCTTTTCTCAAGTCATGTTCTGTCATCTGCTTTCATCTCTTCGCTTTCTGATCTAGCAGAGAAGATAAAAAGAGCTAGTCAGACACACACACACACGTTCTTTGATATCAAACATACTGATGATGTTGTCCTTTTTGGGCATATCAAGGAAGTCAAGATCTAAAGGGAGGGAAGTAGTTTTTTGAGTAATCTGCTTCCTCTTAATCTACCGCCCATTGCAAAGCTGTATCATGCATGGTGTTTTAACCTAAGGTCGTCTGTGAAGACGCAAAAGGCCATCACATCCTGGAATTAGGGGCTAATCAATAACGACTGTATGGGATTACTCATAACATCTCTAATTTTGTTCATTTACCTTGCTTTTGAAGAAAAAAAAACCCATACATTTTATCTTACTTAGTAGTCGAGATTATATATGCAATTTAATCAGGCGGGGGTCACCTGTTGTGTCAGCGGTAGAATGAGCGCGAAATTAGCCGCAAAGTTTGGTGACTACCAAAGCTTTTGTTTCCTTGGAAAATGAACATTTACATTGTCTATTTCCTTTGATTAACGCTGTACAGTTAAACTTACGTAGAATTGTGTTTTAGAAGGGCATAAAAAGAATTAACCACCACCCCACCCATGCCCAAGAAAAAGATTTAAAAAATTGATACCAAAAAAAAAAACAAAAAAAAAAAAATTATTTTTTTTTTTTTAAATGCCGACTTCTTGGATTTCAGTATTTGAACGAGCGCCCCATTTCACCTCACTGCCACACTTTCAAAAGAAAAATATCGTCACTAAACCCAACCAACTAGTTGAGCGTAACCCCGGGAGAAAGCCTCAAGTACCTGGTGACACCCACAGCGAGCAGTATCATGGCCGCTGACATTGTCGTGAACGCGTTGAAGAAGAGGCGGATCCTACAGACGATGGGCTGGTTGAAATCCCAAATGTAAAACATGTCGAAGATTTCAGCTGAGAACAAAATGCGAAAAAAAAAAGAAATATTATCATTGGCAAAACGATACAAAGAAGAAAGTAAAATCAACATAAAATTATATTAAAATAGTGCGCAGCAGTATTTGGGCGGGAGCAAACGGGTATGACAATTTCCATGACAAAATGACGAACAGAAAAAACAAAAGCAACACTCATTATTACCAACAGCAACATGAAAAGCAGCAGCAGCAGCAGCAGCAGCAGCAACAACAATAACAACAACGACAATAATCACAACAATAACAGCAACAGCAACAATACACTCAATCATTTATATACACGTGCATACATACATAACCACACACTCACTCACGCACACACACACACATGTACACTCACACACATACACACACATGTACACTCACACACATACACACATGCACACACACACGCGCGTGCACACACTCGTTTATATACACGTGCACACATACATAATCACACACTCACTCAAGCACACACACACACATGTACACTCACACACATACACACATGCACACACATTTGCGCGCTTATACTCACACACACACGCACGCACACTCACGCACACACACACATACACACCCACACGTACACACAAACACACGCACACCCAATGTGTGTCTTGCCATAACACCCTAATTTGTGGTAGAATTTACAATAAAATAGGTCCAGCCGGACCACCCAATGCAGTGTCCATCTCAGATTGGATAGTGCTAGGTTGGCAGAGAGCCTTGAAAACTCCTTTCACGCCTGCTGTTAAAACCGAAAATGTTATGATTCGAACCAGTGTCATCCCAACCATAGCTCAGCATGACGCCGACTGAACTAACAGCAGGTGCCAAGGTCTGGTGGATGATACTAAGGTGTGGCAAGTACAGAGCTTGTGAGAGATGTAAACTATCGAAGTTTGAGCTTGCAAGGGTAAACGCTTCTGTTTCCCTTATCTTTCGAAAAAAATAATCTTTTGAACACCCAGTCTCAGACTTTGTAAGAAGGGAAAAGAGATGTGTGCTTGGGTTTCAGAACCACCCAATGTGTGTCTCGCCATAACATGTTGCTTTTGGAGAAGGACTGTGAAGCCCAACTTCAAGTATTAAGAAAGCAATTCCAAACCTACTTTTCAGGAGAAAAATTTCGGACTGTTATCCTGCACCAAGTGAATCGTAAACAATAAAAAGGAACAATATACAGTCTAATATTCATGCAAATACCATCAAGTAGACAATGTTATACTAATCAGATGGCGTTATTTTGGTGGGGTTAGGCAAAAGGGGGGGGGGGGGATGAACCAATAGTGTTTGTTGTACCTATTTCGCCTACCCGAGGTAATGATCACATTGAGCCTATTCGAGGTAATAATTAAACTGCGCCTACCCGAGGTTACACTAACACTGAGCCTACTGGGACGAGACAACGATAACAATGCAACTACTCAAGTTAAAAATCATACTGCGCCTGCCAGGGGTAACAATCATACTGCGCCAACCTGGGGTAACAATCATACTGCGCCTACAGAGGTGAGATAACAATCATACTGCGCCTACCTAGGGTAACAATCATACTGCGCATACAGAGGCGAGGTAACAATCAGACTGCAACTACTCAAGTTAACAATCACATTGCGCCTACCTAAGGTAACAATCATACTGCGCCTACCTAGGGTAACAATCATACTGCGCCTACCTAGGGTTACAATCATACTGCACCTACAGAGGCGAGGTAACAATCATACTGCGCCTACAGAGACGATGTAAAAATCGTACTGCGCTTACCTATGGTAACAATCATAATGTACCTAAACAGGTGAGGTAATAATCATATTGCGCCTACCTGGGGTAACTATCACGTTCGTCACGAGGTCAAACCCGGCGATGGACATTATGAAAATCCGGGTGGACGTTCTCTGGAACTTCCTGGAGTACACGGCCAGAACCAGAGCGTTGCCAATAATTCCGACGACAGCGAGGATGATGAGGAACGTCATCGCAGGTATCATCTGTAACGTCGTCTCTTGCTGAAGCTGCTGTAGGTAGAGCTGTCGTTCTAATTGAGAAATATCTGTGGTCATAATTGTGGTGTTGTTGGCAAAAGTCTCGTTCTCCATCGATGACGTGTTCGCCAGAGCTGTCCAATTCACGTCGACGTTTTTAGTTGAAAAAGGTTTTTCGTCCGATTCCGAGAACAGGGCGCCAGTGTCGACTGTAGGAACATCCAAAAACACCCTCGGGTTGGTGGGCACGACTGAGAGAGAAGGAAACGATAAGGACGGTGACGACGACAAGGTTGTAACTGCGTTGAAGATATCACCCGAACCGTCTCCGCTGAGGTCCTGAAACTCTTCCGTTGTGAAATCCTGTGAAGGACTAGAGAGAGAAAACAGGTCCATAGCGCACGAGGCTTTTCACCGGACTCTGAATAATAAAACAAACTGTTTATCATTCAATCGTAATTGCAGGTCTATTTCAGAACACAGAATTTGTCTCACTTGAACAACACTGTCTCTCCTGTCATTTCTGCGCTTGTGGTTGGCGCTGATAGGTTTTTGTCATGGCTTTTAAAACAGTATCTCGGGGGCTGGGGTGGGGGAATAACATCAACAACTGTCTCACCAGGAATAATGCGCAGCTGCTTTAACACGTTTTCTCAGTCGTCCCCATACAAGGCTCTACTCTGTCTACATAAAACACTTGAACGTTTTCTCATCTCAGTGACCAAGCAGTTCACAACAGGGCGGTTATATATCTCGACGTTTTATGCTGGTAGGGATGTCAGATTCAGAGCTGTAATATGAAAAGTTATACACAAACACAAGCGTCCGCTAACACTGAAAATAGTTACGCTTATGTTTTAAAACATACTTGAGGAAACAAAACTTCTTTACACAAGCTCGAACAATAGTTCTGGTCTAAAAACGCCACGACAATGGCCACAGGAGAAATGGGCTCGCTTTTACCCAGCGATAAAACTTCCTGGACAGATCTCATCAAATTTCGGGACGGGAATAGAACAAAATGGACACCAAAAGGCTAAGCGCACAGCTTCATTTCCACTCTTCAAGTGTTAAATGTTTCTGAAACAATGATGTTCATTATATCCGGCACACACGGTCTAAACAACAGATCACACACAAGCGGATAAACACGGATACTTCTTTACAGTGTGCACATTGGCAAAATGCATTTTTTTTGCAGATCTGATTTGTGATCTCAACTCGATCCTGTCGCCTTCCCCTCCCCGTACTTTTCGAAGACAGAACACATATGAACGCACCATCAGTCGACACATTACATCCTGGTCTCGGCCGCAGATGTAGGAAAATGACAGACTGCTCAAGGCGTTTCCAGAGGTGAGTTCCTTCGTCACTTTTAATTAAATGTAAGCGTTGACAGATCAGGAGGTCTTTTTGATTGTTTGTTTATTCAGCACGAAACATTGACGCGCTCACTGTTCTGTCTGAATCCCCAATAAAGTTTTAATGATATAAGCTTTCAAACGTGAAAGAGGGCGGGTGTGATTTGAACATTGTTGGCTTTTATACTTATTGAAAAGGACGTGGGTGGTTGGCGGGTGCTCTGGTGTGGTTTGCTTCTTCTTTCCTATCAAAGATCTGTCATCCTTATCTCCCCTTCCCTGGTGTGTGGTTGGTGGGTGCTCTGGTGTGGTTTGCTTCTTCTTTCCTATCAAACATCTATCGTCCTTGTCTCCCCTTCTTCTTTATTATGTTTGTCACTCTCTTGTAACACCTCTAATCTTCTGGCGCTCATATGACCTTATGCAGTTGCGAGTGCCGTAAACCTCTACTAAAACTAACTAAAATGAAAAGGACAAATACTTTTTTCAAAGCCTTATTAGTAGATAAATGTTCTTTTTTATGTTAAATCCGAGCAGCCAACCGTCCTCAGAAAAAAAGGATGTAGTTTGCAAAAAGTGTCTTCAGGTTAAGGTAAGATAGATAATACTTTATTATCCCAGAGGGAAATTTTTCTTGGCTGTACAGGACCGTAAAAACACATGCAGGTATACATAAAATTTAAATTATATATTACTCTCATTAAAATTCAATGTGAAAAGAGAAGTAAATAATCACATGCAGGAATTTAATTACTAAACCTATGGAGTCAAGTGGCTTCCCCTCAGAGTGAGCCACGGAGGAAGTGGACACCATTATGTATCTATATATAGATACATTCTCTAAAGAGCAATACACATCTGGTGAATTTGCACTGACACACTCAAAAACAATTTTTAAAAACACAAGATATATGGCACAACTGAAAGATTTAAGATCCATAGTAAAGAAATAAGTTATCACAAGACCGTTTAAAAATTGAGTAAGCATAAAAATGTATCCAAAATACTTAGATCTGTAAGAGCCTCGTCGCCACTGAGGAGCGCCGTAAGATTCAAATAGGAAAGGACACAAATGAACTTCCCCCCTTCGTTCTTGGAATATGCATGTGGTGTCATATTTGAGGTTTTTTCATGTTTCTTCTAGATCAAACCAGGATATTAACTTTACAAAAGACAAAGCAGAACTCCGGTATCAAACAAATCGACGTAAGAAGTGACTATATCCACTTTCCACAATTTCGAAAAAAACGAGTTTGAAATTTTGAAAATTTTTGAAATTTCTATGACATAGTAAAAAAAAAGAAACGTCAATATCTCTGTACTGAGTTAAGCTACGACTTAGGTATTTCTAGAGGTAAAAGAACGGCTTAAAATCTCACTACCAATATCGATTACTTCATTTCGACCAAAAGTGGATATTGTCACTTCTTGAGCCTTGAAATTGAAATAAGAAATGATCTGTCTGTCCCACTTCCAACTTCTGTGTATTCATTTGAGTAGTCACATGATGTGACTCTAGGCAACAGTTTCTGCCCATCCTCTGATTGGCTGAGGCAACTAGCGGCGGACGACTACGTCAAGTGGCCCCCCCTCTGAGTGAGCCACGGAAGAAGTGGACACCACTAAGAAGCGTAAAATAGTGAGTGTGAGGGTTTAACACCATTATCAACACTAGAAGGGTTTTTTTTATTAGCGGGGGCCTCCGAATCGAACGTCTGTCTCCGACAGAACCGAGCCAAATTGGTTGAGAGCCTTAAAAACTCCACACATTGACTTGAGTTCAAGAACATCCAATTTGATATTCGAACCAGGGCCATCCGAACAGTAGTCCAGCATGATACCAATTAGCTAAAGGAAAGCCCTGAGGGGAAATAGTTGAGGCCTTAGAGCCCTGTCCAATGTCTGTGATATAAGCAGGGTCTGGGTTGTAACAGTAAGGCTCTTCGTATGCACGTAGAAGACGTCAGTTAGATTTCAACAGGGAGTTGATAATTATATTAATTTTTATTTCGATTGTTTGCTGCAACTAATACAACACAGACCAACCAAAGAAGCCAGCCATTGTCGTAATTTGTCTGAAACAAGCCAAAACATGTTCTGTTCTTTTATAGAACGTCCTTTTCTATATATTATAGGCTGTTGTTTGCCTTCCTTTTCTTTCAACTAACTTGTGAGATGAAAACGTACGTATAAAACTTCTTCTTCTTCTTCTTCTTCTTCTTCTTCTTCTTCTTCTTCTTCTTCTTCTGGTCCGACATTTTTTACCGTTTTGAGTTACTAAGACCATAAGGTCAGAAATCTAATGTTCTGTATGCTCTATAAAAATCGTAAGATTATTCGGAGTCGTTAGCAAGATATTTAAAATTAAAAAACTGCATTCGAAAGAGCTTGACATGCTATGAAACTCCAAACTTTTTAGATCAAATGTCTCAAGACTAAGTACTGAGCAGACATAATTTGTGTTTCTAAGTTAGGGCTATTCCTCGGTAACTGACGGGACATTTGGATTATTCGTTTTTGCAATGATAGTAGCACCGTAATTCAATATCAATTAATTTATTTCAACTTTAAATGATCAGAACATTCGAAATACATAAAATCAAGAAACAAATCAAACGCAGTCATTTGAAAAAAGTGCTTTATTCAAATTCGGTGACGTGTTCAGTTACAGTAACTGACGGGACGAATGAAGTATTTTTTCTGTCTCGTCAGTTACCGTGGAATTGCCTGAGGTAGCGAAATGTGTAGTGCGGGGGCGTTCAGCAAGGTACCGATACAATGGCAACGAACTATCGTTGTACCAATTTGGAAAAAGAAAAGTAAGAAAAGAGACCGTAGAACCTGGAATATCTCATCTCAGCCATGTAGTTAATATGTTTGCCAAGATTTGAAATGAGAATAAAACCAAATGTTGAGACTCAATTTAGTGAAACCCTGTTGGGCTGCCTGAACTGACGCTATTTTTGCATTATTTTGTCACTGCACATGACACAGACCTCAAAATCATCTTCGTGGACCAGGAAAAGGCTTTCGGCCAGGTAAACAGATGTCAGCTTTTGGAAGCTTAGAGGAAAAAGAAAGGTAACAATAGAGACTGGGGTTCCAATTTGCTGATGACTAGAGTATACTGTATACAGATGAAGAGGAATTACAAAAACCCACCACAAGACCTTCAAATTGGCAAAGTGCTTTAAAAAATTTTTTGATAAATATTAGTTTGGATTTACTTTAATCTGAATGAAACTTAGTATCAGCAATAAATCTCTTGTCAGTCGTCCAGCTGACATAAAGTGACCGTCGGTGTCGGTATTGCCCCATTAAAGAACCGCCTCCCCTCAATTAACCAATCAAGACGGAGAATGCAGTTAACATTCATTTTAGTATTAACTTGGCTTCGAAAGAACAAACAAGTACTTTGAAGAGCTGGGTTTTCAAATCAATGTCCTCCTTAGATTGGAATGGGGAAGAGCATTCGGAATAAACCACAAATATTTCTTATGGAATTGAGCCCTGTCGGTCTCATCTTAAGCAGTAAAAGGAGCGACTATTTAGTATTTTCCCATATCTTTTGTAATTAAATCTCAATACCTTGTGGAGGACCGAAAAAAAGTACAACGGCAAGAGTAACGGAGTTAAATTAATACGAAAAAAATATACTGAGAAAGTGTGTTTGACGTACTTCTGATGTTATTCTGGTGTCAGTTCCACACATTTTACAACACAATCCTATTTAAGAAGTGGGATCCAATTGTTTATTATGTCTGTCTCCACTAGAATTGATTGAGGGTGGGGGAGATATATATATATATATATATATATATATATATATATATATATATATATATATATATATATATATATATATATATATATATAGAGAGAGAGAGAGAGAGAGAGAGAGAGAGAGAGAGAGAGAGAGAGAAAGAGCGAGCGAGAGAGAGATAGAGAGAGACCGACAGACAGACAAACAGACAGACAGACAGACAGACGGACGGACAGACATACATACAAGCAGACAGACAGACAGACAGACAGACAGACAGACAGACGGACAAACAGACGGACAGACAGACAGACAGAGGTGGGAGCAGCCGGTGGTGGGGGTGTGATGGGGTAGGATCTGTTGTTCTCTATCAGAGAACTCTTACACAATATGTAGAACTTCGTAAAGCTATCGTCATTGTGTGAGGAATGTCTGTTGTGAAGTTAAAGATTTCACGTGTTTTGTTGTTGTCACCAAGACTTGTCAAAACAAGAGTCTGGCTGAAAAAAACAACAACCTTAGCAACAAATAAAAACAAACAGAAACAAAAAAGGCTAGATCTAACTAGTTTCCTGAACGAGGCTTCTCACAGCAGTCGAGACCCTGATCCATAATAATGAGCGACAACACACTAAGAGTGACTTTAAATCAGGTGGAGATAGTGTGTTAATGTTTCGGTTTGTGGTTTATTCTTAGCGTCGTTGCTATCACTGTACATAGGCGTGGCCATGAAAAACTTTAAATTTATTTTCAGTAAGGTTTTTACGGCGCTCGCAACTGCATAAGGTCATATGAGCGCCAAATGGAGAAATTTGTCACAATGAAAGGGAAGGTTGGTGTCATGGTTGGCAGCAGCTGTCGATTCTGATATACTCTTATGAAACAACAGTCTGGAGATTCTTCACAATGGGATATATGATGACAGTCTCAAGCCTGTTGAACGTTCTGCGCAGGGACTCAGTGTGCGCTGTGGACGTACAAGGTACGTCCTGTAAATTCGCTATTTTCTTTTGCATATACAGCATTGTAAATGAAACTTTTGAATGTTGAGAATTTTTTCTTATAGGCTATCTTCATTCATAAAACAATGACGTCGGCGCTATTTTTTAAAAGCAAAACAAGCTCTTGTTTGTCGAGCAATCGCGGAGGTT